TTTGCGTGTAAGGCAGGATGTTGAGACTTGTTCTGAGCGGTTTATAAAGCTACTCCAGTAGAAATTGACCTTTTAATTAAGGGCTGAATGATATTTACAACAGCTTAGTGTAGAGTTTGTAAATAATCACAGATCTTCAGTCATAATATACAGATGAATAGAGAAGCTTGGTAGAGATAGGAGGAAAGTGGCTCATTCACCTGATTTCTAAGCATTTATTTCTTACGTACATATTGTGATGTTCCAAATATAATATAAAGAGTTAGAAGACTGGTACTGTTATTGCACAGGCTCCCTGGGTTCAATGTCTTCTCTAAATTCAATACAGTAGTTACTGGCTGAAACTCTGATTTAGGTGATTCAGAGGGTGAGACTGGGTGTCATAGCAGCTTCCCCTGACCTTGGAATGCATCGTTTGTGTGGTTTTTACTTTTAAGGCCTCCAAATGAGACACTTTAAAGCCGGGAAGTAAAGAGAGGGATTGAAAAGCAGCAAAGTATTTGTGTCATTTAGATATGTATGAGCCATTGGCTTTTGTATAAGTTACTTCTGTTTTCTGCCAATACTATATTCAGAGTATTCCTCTAAGTAGAAAAGGCATATGGGGTTTTCAAGAGGAACGTGGAGCTACAGAAAGAGTATGAGAAATAATCAAAGGAAAAAGACAACGGTAGGAAAACAATGGGACTAAAATAAAGGTTGAATGGATGAGACAGGGGGATTATCCTGCCCCGAAGGTTAAAAACAAGGATGTACAAGGTTCATATGTCACGAAATTAGGGAAACAAGGGAGGTTCTGAGTCATTAAAGCAAAGAAGTGAATCAAACTGTCGAGTTGTGCAGATGATTGTAACACAGCTGGAATGAAAGGAAGCAAATAAGCATTAAAGTGCAGAAGGCAGCAGCAAAGCAGTGGCTACGGCAGCAAGAATGGATTTTTCTGAGAGCAAAGGATTAGCGGAGATCCCAAAGTACAGATGGTCTTGGGTGAAATAATCACCTTCGCCTCGAGGGAGTAAGCAAGGCCCATGGGCTGGTCGCACGATGAGGAGGAATTGATATGTAACCAAATGAAGAGAAGAGTAATTGAAAGCTGGTCCCAGGGAAACTTCTAAGCCTCCCTCCCCATTTCTGACTCACTGAAAAGGAAGCGAGCAGGAATAATCTCGCTGTGGTCTGGAGCAGCACAGATAACCCTGCTGAAGTTGGAAACGTATATTAGGTAACTAAAAAGATCCGAGGTCTTAAAAGAGTCGCTGTTTTAGGGGAAGCCTTTAGACCAAACCTATAGACATTAACACAGTCATTGTCTTTTTGCAAGCACCCTGCCTTCAGACATTCTCAGGATTATCAGATAACGAGGCAAAATTTCAGTACAGAGATAACATTCTGGGTTTAGGAATGCACTCTCTGAGCCCATGCATAGATAGCTGGGTTCGGGAGCCCTGTGAGGGATCTACAGTCTAAGCTCTTACTCTTTAGATATTGTTTTGCCGGTCATTGATGCCATATGTGGTTTTATCCCTGGCATTCTTGCTGTTATTGGTAATGATACAAGCCTCAAAATACTTTCCTGTGTCAATCACTTCTTAATGTGGTTCCCTTGCATCAGCAACACTCCCGTCTCCCCCTGTGCTTTTTACCTAGAACTGTAGCCCTGAAATTACAGTGATGTTTGTGGTAGATTCAGTGACTCTGTCAGAATAACACAGACCCAGCTTTTAACCACTGTCTTGGGGTACAACCAACAGGCTGATTGCTTCTCTGTTTCACATTCTGACTTCATCTCAGCTACACGTGATGGAGAATGCCAGTCCATAGGCTACCTTTCGTGGCAGCAAAAGCCAAGGGGTGGCAGAGTTATGAGCCTTGGAAGACCTGGATGGATCTTCTGGTGCTGCCATCAACCCTGGTTAGGAGGTAAACTCCTCTTTGACACTCTTTCTCCTCCCACCTTCTCTCAGCCCATCCTGAAACAGCCTACCAGGTGCTGTAATAGGCAGCCCATCCACTGAGTCTTCCTTGAAGTTGAGCTGGTGGCAAGGCATGCTTGCGAACACTGAAACGCCAGTAAAGGCTTCTAGTGCAGACCTCAGTCCCAAAGGGGCTTCCCACCACTGCCTTGATGTTATGTCAGTTAAGCTGGGGGTATAGAATCTGTCATCATGAACCCAGCATCCCTGCTCCCAGGAGCCATGATTTTCCATGAGGAGTTTGCAGGGTGCTGGGAGACCTGTGGAGAAATGGGAGATGTGGGCAAAGAAAGTTAGGAAGGGGCTGCAGTGAAAGACAGGAGTGTTTTTAGCTCTGGGCAAAGGCACCCTGTTCCTTCAGGATGGGAAGTGGTTTTGCCTGAAGCATCACGCATGGAACACTCTCCATTAAGCCATGCTTTGTGTTCAAAAGACCTCTCTCTATGTTATGTGTGTGGCTACTCCAACTGAGCTCTTCAGACCTCTTTCCTGCAGCCAGGCTCCCATTTTGATCATATTGAGGCTGTCTGGTTTTAATTTAACCCTTCCTTTTTGAGTGGATTCGTCTTGAAAGGCATGAAAAGGCTGGGCTCCCAAGCTACCTTACCTCTTCAAGAGCCACGGGAAGGTAAGTGCATGTATTTTTAAACCGCACCAAATTTATCCTTAATGCAACATGCTGAAATAAAGCCTTTAACATCAACAGAGCTGCACCAACCTTTTAAATGACCCCCTCGGTTTTAAGTCAAATAAATTTCTGGTTTCCTAGGCAAAATTCTCCTGTAATAGCTTCAAATGATCTTAAGTGTGCAAGTAATGACAACCAGTGGTTATGTAAGCAAAGCACACGTGTATTATTAAATCGTTAAAGGGGGTGCGTGTCTATACATACAGGGGGGTTATGTGTGCCTCTGTTATGCTACCAGCGAAGTGTATAAAGCTCTTTTAGCCATTAGAAATAGTGTGTATTATTGAAGGGACAACAAGCTAACTCCATTGTTGTGTGGCTACCTGGCTTCACAGACACGTGCCCCTGCAGGAGCCCTGTTCGGGGTTCCAGGCTGAGACGTTATGCAGTCCCACAATGTGTTGGAGGGAGGACGCGAGAGCGCAGCATCAATGGGTAATTCGGCTGCCCCCTCCATGGGAAGGGAAACACACGGTGAGTAAAGCAGCCAAACCTGCTGCTTCTCCCTGCCTTGCACTGAGCCCAGTCCATCCTGTTCTCCCACCCTTAGCTCATCTTCTACCCAGGTTTGGGGAAGTTTCTGCCAAATCTGGGTAAAAGCGGTGGCACTGCCTCAAAGGGGGACCCTGCTCCGTTGAAAGGAGGCTACAAAGGTTTTATTTGAAGACCTGACTCACCCGTGTGTTTGGCAGCAAATGGAACTGTTACATAGAAGTACCTATGTGTGCATGTGTTTGGCAGCCAGTAAAAAGGGCTAATCCTGGGGATGGATGCAGCCAGGGTTGAGAGCGTTTTAGGGTCTCGGGGTGGGATCCATACTGCTGGATCCCCATCACTACGCTTTTATGGCAGAAAAGACCAAAAAGGGGAAAGAGAGGTGAGAGGTTTGTTGGGCAAAGATGCTAACAATGCCTGCGGATGGTGGGAAGCACCCGGCACCCGCTTCCTGTCACAAAGTCGTGAAACGTGAAGTTGAAATAGTCCCTGGGTGTGAGGACTGCAGTGGGAGCCCCTCTGGATGTGGCTGTCAGCAGGTAAACGCTTGCCTGAGTCCTAAAGCCCAATCTGGCTGAAGTAATATGTCTTTAATCTTTCAGATCTCCTTTAAATACATACATACACACACCCCAGTGATGAGTAAAGCCTCAGACCCCCCCCCCCCCCGGAGAGGCAATCCCAGCTGATGAAATGGCCAGTCAAGCAGCTTACATGCCCCGGGCCGCTCTCCCTCCGTTAACAAGGTGGGCATTAGACCCATTTCATCACTGTTAATTCATTTGCTTTACTCATTTGCTCCTCAGAGAAAGTTGTTAGCCTGTTGTATTTTTAACACCACCCCACCCCCGTCCCGGGCCAAATTCCCGGCTGATGCTGCAATGGGCGTTTTGGGAGGGGATCCTGCAACAGGTTTGTTATTGGGTTTTAACTTTAGGGGGGTTTCCTGGAGAAAAATAGGGAATTTTGTGGCAACACAAGGGGAGGCAGCAAGCCCCGTCCCTCCCGGAGCGCTCCTGCCTCTGTGGCACCCGCTGATGTTTAGATATATACATATATATGTGTATATCCACGCGTGGAAGCGAAGCGGCTGTAACACGCACTGCCTTTATATAAAGGCTCCCGTGGCTTCTCCCGGTGAGGCATCGGGCACCGCTGGAAAAGCCGAGTTCCGCCTTCATTAAAGCCGGAGGATTGCCATTTCTATTCTTTTGAAGGTTTCCCCCCATCTATTTGCCATTTACCAGCTCATCCATATGGAAGACATGGCTTACACTTCCCTGAGAACTGTACTTTTAGGACTAATTGATTCTGGTAATTAATTTGTTCTACCTGCTGGATCAGATGGAAATGCTGTCCATGTGCCCAAGGATTAGCACTTGCCTTTCTAACATCTTTCTTAATTATCTAATAGCATGGGTTGCGCGAATTCTGCCTCTATTAGAACACTTTTACTATTAACGGTAGTGATTGGAATTGTGATGGCAACTCGATTTCAACAAATTAGAGCTTAAAATCGGGAGATGAAGGAGAAGCGCCTTCTTTTAATTTCCCTGAGTTTAACATCAATAATTAGAGCAATTTTCTCGGCTATGATGTGGCGTATCACCCTCATTTTAGCAAATTGACTCCGGGGAAATGAATGTTACAGATTACGGGGGGGGGAATAGAAGACAAACAGAAAAGGAGAGTTAGCACAACACTGAGTGGGGAATGGACGGGAACAAAACCCCAGCGGGGTTATAACTTGAGCGGAAGGGACAAACTGCAAGGGACAAGTTAGGAGCGGAGCGTGGGGGGCAGCTCAGCAAAGCGCAGTGATTTATCCCCCCCCCCCCCAAGTTTTTGCCTTTACAAAAGCAAGAGGATAAAACACTTGTGTTTGGGAAAAAGCTCCGACTCCACCGCTCGCACCGGGGCTGAGAGTGGGTTGCGCTGCGCTGCGGGGCTGAGGTGCGGTGCGCCGGGGGCAGACTGCGCGTCCCCCCCTCCCCGAACCCCAAGCGGCTCCGCGTCCCCTGCGCGGTTTGGGTGGCCCGGAGGGCCCGTTCCCCCCGCCCGGCCGATGGCGATTGGTTCGCCGGAGACCCCCCTTTCTCCCGCGCCTCAAAGGCGCGCATCTCCCCGCACAGCCCGAGCCCGCCCGCATCGCATCCCCCGGCTCTTCCCTTCATTTCTGGCTGGGGGGGCATATTTATTTTTAATTGTTATTATCGCTATTTATTTTTTCTCCCTTTTTAAAAAAATATAATTTATTCATTGTTATAATTATTTCTATTTATCACCCCCGGCCCCGCGGCTTCCTCGCCCCCTGCATCCCTCTTTCTCAGCGCGCCTCGCTCCCTTCCCTGCTGCCCAAGGGGACCACAACCGAAATGAACCTCAACTTCACCTCGCCAGTGCACCCCGTCTCCGCGCCTAGGCCCACATCCTTCTTCATCGAGGACATCCTGCTGCACAAGCCCAAGCCCTTGCGGGAGGTGGCTCCCGAGCACTTCCCCGGCTCCTTGGCCTCTCGCGTCCCCCTCTTGGACTATGGGTACCCCCTGATGCCAACCCCGACCCTCCTGGCGCCTCACCCGCACCCTGCTCTGCACAAGCCGGAGCATCACCATCACCCCTATTTCCTCACCACCTCGGGTAAGTGCAGCCCTTCGCGGGAAGGAACCTGCGGAGTTTGTGGCCAGGCGGACCCGGGTGGGGAAAAGAGGCCACAGCCCCGGACGGGACAAGCCCCTCCGGGCATCTTTCTGCATCCTTCACCTGGATCCGGGCTGCGGTTTCCCGCTTCGTTATCAGGGAAAGGAGCGCACGGAGCTGCAGGTTGCCATCCATCCAATTGCCCGATATCTCGAGGGTCTCCTTCTCTTTCCATTTATATTCCATTTATTACTTTTAATTACTTTTATTTTCTGACCGATAACATCTCTTTTTCCTTGCGTTATCCCTCCAGACAGTGCCCGGGCTTTGATTTTTCCACCTCCAGCAGCACCGCTAGGGCTGCTCTGGCTCCGCATCCAGGGGCCGGGAGAGAGGCTCCTCCTGCCCGGCTGGAACCCGGGGCTTTGCCATCCTTCCCCGGGCTCTGAAGGGAAAGAAGGAAGGAAGGAAACAAATCCTCCTCCAAAGTTCCTCACCGGGCATCCCAAGTGAGATGGGAAGTTGCGCAGCCGTGGAGCCGGGAGGATCGTTTTCCTCCCAGCCTTTTCCAGCGCTGTCCTCGGTTTTCCTACTTTCTTTTCGTTGTGGTTCGATTGCCAGGAGAGTGAAGGTTTTTCTGTCCGGGCTGACCGCTCCGGCTCTGCTTAAGAGAGCACTGCTCAGGCTGCCTTTGCGTTGCTTGGGAAGGGTTCAGCAGGGGCGAAAAGCTTTGTTTTTAGAGCAAGAAAATCCCCTAAATCGATAAAACGACCTTAAAAACGATGTAAACGAAAAAGTCATTAAAAGCTAAGGGAGGCAGGGGGAGAGCCCAGCTCCGGGAGCTGCAGCCCACCCGGGTCTCGGCCGTGTGTCCCTCCAGGAATGCCGGTGCCAGCCCTCTTCCAGCCCCACGCTCACGCCGAGCTGCCCGGGAAGCATTGCCGCCGCCGCAAAGCCCGCACCGTTTTCTCCGACTCGCAGCTCTCCGGCTTGGAGAAGAGGTTTGAGATCCAGCGGTACCTCTCCACGCCCGAGCGGGTGGAGCTGGCCACGGCGCTCAGCCTCTCCGAGACCCAGGTACCGGGCGGAGAGACCGGTGTCTGCCCCATTCCCGTATCCCATGTGGCATCCTCACCTTTTCCTTCTCGTTTCTCTTTACCGTTATTATTTTCCCCCTCCTGATGCTCTCCCCAGGTGAAAACGTGGTTCCAGAACCGGCGGATGAAGCACAAAAAACAGCTGCGGAAAACCCAGGAGGATCCCAAGCACCCCGGAAGCGAGGAGAACCGGGAGCAGAGCTCCCCCGAACCCGAGCTGCCAGAGGCGGCCGGCACCGACCCTCGCAAGGGCCCTCCAGGCCCATTCCTGCTCCAGGACCCCGAGGATGAGGTGGACATCCTGGAGGAGGGGGACCTCTGCGCCGGTCCCCATCGCCTCTAGTTGCGCAGGGGCCCGGGGCGGCTTTGGCCCGGCCCGGCAAACTGCCCCTATCTCCCAGCCCTGAGCAGTGCCAGAGGGGAGGGGATCACGTTTTGGGGAGGAGGTGGTGATGCGGGAGGAGGCAGTGATGCTCCGCGGTACCGTCGGCTGCCCCTCGGTATCAGCCCTAGAAGTCTAGTGAGGCAGAGCGGAATAAGGCGAGTTCCCTTTTAAGTTTCCCCTTTTCCCTACGAAATATGGGACTTCTCTCCGTTCCCCCAACTTTCCTCGGTTTTGAAATAAATGTGCACCCGTGGCAGCGTGTTGTGGTTACTGGGAGCGGCGGGCAGGTCGGGTTTATCCCGGATTTATCCCGGGCAGAGCTTCCAGGACACGCACATCCTCCAAAAAAAAAAAACAAACAACCCCAAGGAAAACAATTATGGAAACGCCTTCCAAAGAAACAGGTAAGACAAAAACTACCGTTTGTTTAATCCGATATAGGGAGGGGAAAGGGGGAGCACCACGAATAACTCGATCATTGCTCGGAGCAGACGCAATCCCAGCGAGCAAAAGAGAACCGCTTGGAGAGCCACCTGCACCGGTGATTTCAGCCTGATTCCTTCCCGGCCTCCAGGTGCGAATCACCATTCGGATACTCCTCTTTTCCTCCCAAAGATGCCCCAGAGCAGCGTTTGGCTCCTGTTTTCCCCTTGCCTGCGTTTGCTCCAAAGCCTCCCTGAGCTCCGTGTTGCAGCCGCCGCTTTGCCTTTATCTTCTTGCCAGGGAAATGCTTTTAATTTCCAGGTAAATTAAGATATTTTAAATGCTATTTATTCCCCCCCCCCCCCCCGGCGAGCTGCTGGTTTGGGAGCGAGGTGGAGGCCCCTTGTTTCCAATGGGAAAAACTGGGGTTTTCCTCGGGAAAATCCTGGAGGAGAGGCTGTGCTTGCTCAGACGTTGGCTGCGCAGCCCCTGCTGCACCAGCAACCGGATGCCGCGTCGGTGTCTCCTTCGGTTACTTAATCCTGTTTTCCTAGCTTTGTTTTTAATTTGGTGTCATGGGCACTTTTGGTGGGTTTTTTTTGGATTATGGGATATGCGGTTTTGCGAGGAAAAAATCTGCTTAATATATAAAATACAGATTATTGTCCTGTGTAAGTTTGCTTCCTTTTCGTGGGTTTCCCTTTATGCTTTTTACCCGTGGAATAATAAACATCACACTTTAGGGAGGGAAAAATACCAAATACCCAACTGTCTGCCCATCAAATGGCTGGTTATCTTTCACATTGTCTTTATAATTACTTCCTGAACAAGCATTTTAATCATAAAACTTTGTAAAACGCCAACCATCTCCCTAGAAATGATAATTCAGAAGGCAAAGCAACCAATTTCCCCCTAAAACCTCGGTGTGTTTTGGAGCATGGTAGAGAGCTAAGCACAGGTGCAGCAGGACATTTCACATTGCTCTCTGGAAATGCTTCTCCTGTCTCTCCCCTTCTCTCATCACCTACTCGGGAGCTGATGGAAACTGTCTGGAAACCCTTTCAGTTCCATGCCATCCTTCACTTGCATCTGTACTCAGTTATCCAACAAGTATTTGGTTCCTTTTGCTCTGTCAGCCTTCCCCTGATCTCATGTTTCATCAGGAACTATTAAAAGTGATATAAAAGAGAAGCTCTAACATAATATTTAGTTATGTTTTCTCTCTGACCATGTCTAAAGCTGCTGTTCATGGCGTGGTATCGATACCCATCTCAGGGCCGATAACGCTCTGCTGCTGGGGTCCTTTGGTAATAGGGTTGGGCAGCAAGGTATTTAGAGAAATCCCTTTATTTTAGCGAAAGGGAACATTAGGAGGACGTATAAAGATGTAATAATCTAAAACAATTGCACCTGAATGAAAAGGGAGATTAAAAATCCTGTCTCATTACATTGGTGTGTGTGATTTCTTTTTACTTGTGTAAGGAATTGCTTGTTCTCTCTATTATTAAAGGCAAAGGCGTGTAAAAATGCTCTGTGCTGGAAAGAACTCAAAGAAAAAAAAGGCAGGAGAAAGTAAAAAGTAGAAGATGAAGTGAGAGAATGGGGCAGAGATGTGCAAAAGCAACTTTTCCCTCCTCTGTCCATTTACACTGCTCTTTGGCAAGGCATCTAGTGGATGTAGAGAAAGTAGTGGTGTCAGCCTGTGGGCACTGCCAGGCTCTGCCCTCCCAACACTGCTCAAGGAGTGGGATCAAATGCTGTGTCACCAGGCAGGTCCCACCTCACCAACCACCCCAAAAGTCAGTGCTCATCTCCTCTGCAGTAGCAGGGCCTGGGGCATCTGCGCATTGACAATGGTTATAGTCTGATGGTGGTTCCCAAGGAGGGAAGGATCCTGGGATTCAGGTGTAGGCACATCCAGGAACAAGGTCTGCAGCACAGAGTGCCCCAATGCAGGCAGTGCTGCAGACGATAGTGAATGAGGTCAGGACAGGTAAACCCCACAGGTACCCTCACCTCAGTCCCCTGGGCAGGGCTGGGTTCATGGGACCCAGGTTTCTCTGAGACACAGAAGTGTGACAAAGATCCCATTCCCCTTTCTGCCACCAGCATTATCACACTCAGGATGTGCCAGGACTATGAAGAAGGGTCAGAATATGACTCAGATAACACTTAAGTCTGCTGCCTCTCCCCTGCCGCTACGGGAACTTTCTCCTTCACAAAGAATTTATGCTGGTCAACGAAATCAAATCAAATCCACCCTCTCTTCCCCTCTCTGTATGTCCAGGCACCTTGGCTAACATTTAAGATTCCAATTATGTTTGAAATGAAAGCCACTGATGGCTATCAACCTCAGCGACAAGTGCATACAGAATGTGAACCATGCAACCCGAGGAAAGGACACTGCCCTGGTATGCGCTGAGCCTTGCAGTTAATGGGAGAAGGCTTTGGGAACAGGCTGCTTATCCCATCAAGTTTGATGCAAACAAGGGCAAATGAGACGGGGAAGAAAACAGCCCCTACCTGAGACATCTCCTCCCTTTAGAATAAGTGAAATGTGGTTTTATTCATCCAGTGACGAGTGCTGACTTTCTCCTGCTTTCCCCAAGAAGCTTAAGGAGTAGGGGAGATTGTTTAGAGCTCTTTTATATTTATGTGTGGGGGGGAAATGCTGAGTAGAAGTAGCTTGCAGGAAATCTTGGTGGATTTCCTATTTTTCAAGAATTTTCATCAAAATCCTTCCTTTTTCTTTTTCCAAATGGAAGTGTTTCCTGTTAATTAATTTGAACAGCCGAGTGGTTAATGGTTGCTGTTGATTTCATTAAAGAAAATCACAAAACGCTGCATAAAATAATTCTATGAACCTTTGCTCTCTGTTTTGATTTTGAGCGTTTTCCTGTCTGCTGCCCTTAACATCACTGACTTTCATGGGACTTTAAAGCAGTGCTGACCACTCAATTGCTTTCCTAAAAAGACTCGCTGTTCTCTGGTGTGGTGTATCTTGTTGGATCTGCTTTGACTGCTGGAACAAACCCTTCAGTGCTCCTATGACACACAGAAAGCTAGCCCTATGGTGCTACCTGCAGCTGCCCGCTCTGCTCTCCTGATTATGCAAAGCTCTTGCTGAGCTGCTGGGTGCTTCTTTAGCATCTGCTCTATCCAGGTTTTGGGCTCAGCATCACTTCTGTTCAGAGCAGGCTCTTCTGTAAGGCAGGCTGCTGTAACTCACCCTCACCAGCTGTCACCAGTGGAGGTTCACTGCCTGTCTCCATCACTGTGGTTTTGTCCACCTAGAACTCTTTCTCACACCACACAGGCAGTCACCAGAGCTGGTCCTTTCTTCACATGCCTGCTTCTTCTCATGCAAAGGGCACTTAGGTTTGGACAACATGCAAAAATAATGATAATTAAAAAAGGCATATTCTTTCTGCTATTGTAATTTAATGCAGAACTGGTTCCTGGTGCTAATGATCAAATGCTTGGCTCATTGGCTGTTTGGACATTCCAGCTTGTTCATGCCTGTTTGAAGGATTCAATGACTGCAGGAGTTAGGCATCATTTTGTCTAGTTTACAGTCCTCATCTTTGCCAGTGTGTCTTTAGAGATGTAATGATGGAACATGGTTGATTTAATGTTTTTAACTGTTAAACTAATATGCTTCTGTCAGTCAGCAGCCTATAAGCCAGACTTTCATACCTTTTGTGAGATGATGGTGGGAAGCCAACGTCAGTTACCTTCGAAAGAAATGTGATGGTGGTTTCATTGCAGCAGCATTGCTCCTAAGTAGAAGTGAAGGTGGTTTCAGCTTCTATCCTTCCTGAACCTAAAATACCAAGAAGTGGCAGTAGAAAGAGCCTGCCAAGTAAATGTTGAGTTCTATTGGGTGGCTTACACAATTCCTGCCCCTGTGAAGGCAGCCTGTGCTCACGGTAACGCTGTGATAGCTGGAGCCGTGGGACTACATCAGGCAGGTTCTACTCCAGCTCAATCTCTCCCTGAATACTTAATGCAAAATTCAAGGCCTATTTCTTATTTAAATTCCTTGCCTTCCTAATTTGAAAGACATTAAGTTTTGGCCTTTGCTTTTAAGCAGATGGATGCTCATCATTTACTTGTATGGTCCCTTTTTGTGCCACCGTATCTGTTAGGTGCCGGGAAAATTTGCATTAGTATTGAGGCAGATCAAAAGATTTTCTTTCCACATATGCTGCAAATAATGTCCTTTTCTTTTTTTTTATCACAATCTGTGTTCATAGAAAAAACCTATAACACCCCCCCCCCCCGATATCATATACGTGGCTTCTAGTTAGCATGGGTTTAGTATGTGAATGTTTCCTAAAAGTTCATTGTCTATTAAAGCCCCCCAAATAGAACACACCACCCACCTGGAAAGATCACCCTCATTTCTGGGAGCTCTAAGAGGCAGTCGGATGACAGATAGGGAGGAAGGTGATCAATTAAGACATTAAGCATTTTGCACCACATGGACACATCTGCATGTCAGCCAAATAATAAGGCCATCAGCTCATTTTCAGAGGGCTGTTGCCTACTTCAACTCAATCCTCAGATCAAAGAGGAAATGTCTGCTTGCATTTTCTAATCAGAAAAGGGATGCTAATTTAGGTTCCTTAATGTGTGGTGATAAGAGACTTCTTCAATTAACTGAATTCTATAGCTCAGAAAATAAAAAAAAGGGGGA